AATATATATACTTAATACATATTCATAATAAAATTAATACATATTCATATCATATATATATTTGCATATTTAATTTATTTCTATATGTTTTAATTGTAATATTTCATTTACGTTTTATTTATTTACATATATATGATGTTATGTATATTTATATCAATATATTTATTCACACATATGTACATATAATTACTGAAAACATACAATACTATGCTCTATTTCAAATTTATATTCAGGCTTCTTTTAAATAAAAACGAATTAATTTAATAGAAAAGAATATTTTTTAAAAAGATTTTTTTAACAGCATTTTTTAACAGCCCGAAAGCTGTTTAGCATGTTTTTATTTTTTTATTTTTTTTTAATAAAAAGATTTGCCAATCGAATTTTTATTTATCTTTGTTAGGATTATTTGTTTCTTCAGTATGAGATAAATATATGGGCGAGAAACCGGAACCGAGCTCCTCCCCTTGCACCTCCACTCCAAACTATATACGCGATCTATCTAGGCTCATTTGTGTACGACTATTGGGCGGTAGACTTCTCTGATACACTACGCACATATAGTGCACTATACATATGGATTAGCAACAGCTGACTATTGAGTCAAAAAAATTTTCTCGCGTGAATTGCCAAATATTCTCCCACACACGCTTTTTCTGACCTGAATAAAAAGTTTATGCAAAGTTACATTAAAATCGATAAATTAAATTTCGAAATCTTGAGAAATGCAGAGAAAAAATGTACAATGTATGAAAATGAGAGACACATAACGAGAATATTGTATTTTTTTTTTTTTTTTGCAAAACACAAGCTTTGAGTGAGAAATAAAATATTATTTTTAGTTTTATGCGCGCGTGCGAATCGCGTTACATATCTCGCATTTATCGGAGATAAGTGTGCAAGTACCGGGATAATTTCATTACTCGCGTACTTTTTCGAGAGTACGGAGATAAAAAGGAAAATTGAAACAACAAAAATAAACGAAGCGAACCCAAATGTAAGTATATTCTGGCTGTTGGTATGGCGAGCACGGGCGCCGCGGGATGAGGATTTCGAAATCGGGCTCGAAATGCGCGCAGCGTTGCACGCAGGCGCCGGCCGCGCGCACATATGTAGCGCGGCGACGTAGCGCGAGAGATATAATACATACGCGTGCAGCCGCTAAAACGCGACAGGCCGTGCATATGTGGTGAAGCGCGGCCGAGAGCGGCGGTGCAAGGGCAGAAAGAACGACGACGGGAGAAAAACAAAGAGGAAGAAAGAGAGAGAGAGAGAGAAAGTAAGCGCGAACGTGGAATGACGGGAAACTCGTTGCATAGCGCTGTATGCTAGAAGTCGAGAGAGAGAGAGGGGGAGGAATCGTTGGAGACAGCAATGGCCGCTCCCGCGCGTATAAACATGGAGAATGACAGACCGCGGCGATTTCGCGGCTTCGTCAAAGCCGAGCGATCGCCGCGACGTTTCGGAAACGTTGGGGCGATCGGGCCCGACGACGAAAACGCGATCCGGTTCCCGGGCGTCCCGTGCGGGACGCGAAATCGGCGGGTACGACATCGGCTCCGGCCGGTTACCGTCTTGTCAACGTATGCCGCCATATTGGATCGCGGGAATCTCGCCAGGAACGGCGCGCACGGCAAAGGGACGCACGGGCGCCGTTGAGACATAACGGCGGGATTAACTCACCCGTGTTGTAAACATGCAGCTCGTCGACTATGCCTTCGTTACCACCGCCAAAAACGACCATAAGGTCTTTAATGGCGACTGCGCGGTGCCCATGCCTGGGTCTCGGCTGGGGCCCGGTCGGATTCGCAATTTTCTTCCACTTTAACATGGGTGCCGCCATGATGACCGTCGATCACATCATTTTTTCATACCGTCCGTACTACTACACCAACACCACCACCACCACCGCCACCGCCGCCGCCGCCGCCGCCGCCGCTACCACCGCCGTCGCCGCCACTGATAATGTTACCCCTAGAGCGGCGCGATCGCGACGCTCGGCGGAATACGCGGGCGTCCTCTCTTATCGCGAAAAAAACCGCAGTCGGTGTCTTCGTTCGTTGCGATGGTCGTCGACGGAACTCGACGACGACGACAATAGCGAGACCGTCGAAGGTTCACTTCCTACCCTCGGCAATCTCACCGCTTTCTCGATGTTTCGCGCGAGATACGTCACTCCCGGGAATTGTACGTTTCGACTCGCTCTAACCTCTCTTCGGGGGGGGGACAAACCGCGAGAGACAAACGAGACCGAACCTCTGTAAATTCTCCGAAAACAACGAATCGCGACGTTCCACGTTCGATAACGGAGCGCAACGAACGGATTATTCCTCGCGCACTCTTCGTAATCTGTTAAAATGACGTTCACAGTCGAGCCGAATTCCGGACGCAAAAGAAAAATCCTCGCGCCGTCGACGAGTGGCTCGTTTCTTCAAAGCGCGCAACACGTACACACCAACGCGAGAAGCGTCCTTAATGCGTGCCTGCGCGCGCAAACGTGTATTAGTGCCAGTATTTACGTGCGCAGTGTTTATGGGCACTGACAAAGCGACTTTTCTAGATCGGCTTTCTCGGAAAGGTCGCTCCTCAGGCATTCGTCGCTGCCGTCGCCATTATTACCGCGACGGCGACGACGACGACGACGTCGACAACGACGACGACGACGACGACGACGATTCCACTCGGGATTCACTCACGAGACGCGAGATCGAGCGGCGCGCCTATATACTATTTTCTCTCTTCAAGATATCTCGAGTCTCGAATTTAATATCGAGACTCGAGAGTTGGGGATTCGCCGCGGCACCTCGATTCGCGCACGACGAGAGCGCTCCCGTGCGTTGCGCGGACTCTCGCGTTCTCCCTTTTTCGCTCCCCCCCCCCTACCCCGAGTCTCTCACTATCTCAACTCCGCTATCTTTTTCTTTTTCTCTTTCTCTCTTTTTCTATCTCCCTTGGTGTGGAAACCTGCGTCAAAACGGAACACGAAAAACGGCGCGGCAAGGAGATATCCGCTATGGCACGACTGAGCGACGCCGGGCGAGGCGCGTGAATTCCCGGCACAATGTTTGCGGCGCGCGAAATGCAACGGCGTGACACCAACGGCGACCGATTCCGTCCGTACTTATCGGCGAAACAGCTGTAGTACTCAGAATGACGGCGCGTACAAACGTTCTACACGTTCCTCATCCACCATTGCATACAACTCGCGTCGGTAACAAGCGCGTTGCCAACCGACGCAGGATTGTGGGGGTGGGCGGGCCGTGTTCGATCGATTAATCGATATTTGATCCTCCTCGATTCTGTTTTCTGGGAAAAAAACAAACACGTTCCAACTTACGGGATCTGGCCAAGTTTTGTTTGTTCCGCGTGCATCTGCACGCCGCTGACTTTTATATCCGATGTTTAAGTGTTTGCGAAACGTGAGCGCAAAGAAAGCAACCAATCGCGACGCTTATACGTATAGGAAGTAATTCGATGGAACGAATTACGTGCGAATTGTTTGACAAGACCGTCGCATTTCCGTCGAGAGCGCTGGTTGTCGTCTCCTCGAAAAGACGAGCGTTTTTCTTCCTTTCTCTTGATAGTTTTTTTCCGTGCAATTCAAAAAGGAGAGAAAATTAATTATTTTTAAAAAACTGTTAATCTCTGTGTGCTCTATATGCGTTTCTTTATTTATTTATTTAAGACACAATTTTCCAAAGAATACTATTCATACAAAGCGCAAAATGTAGTTTGAAAAATCTTTAATTTTATACTATACAATGTGGCTTATATACTACATATAATTCTGACAATATACATATAACTTGAGCATTTATAAAAAATGTACGCATATACTGATAGGAATGGACAAGATTTACTTATATAAACAGCATATTACTTGCACAGATATTGTTCCTATTTTTTTTTTTTTTTTTTTGTATAAATTACATTGATGCAAAAAATAAGTGTAGTTCTGACAATAAATTCTCGACTTTGTATGTTTCTCAATTAATATTGTATATAAATTGAAATAATATGAATTGATATAAAACAAAGTCGCGTTACATACATTTTAAATAATCTGAAGTCTCTTTGAACAATATTTATGAAAATGTATTAAGATTTATTTTTATATATTACAAAATAAGAAGATACATCCACTTTATAAGCTGGAAATACATATACTTCTTGTTTTTTGTCTTCAATCACTTTCACAAATTAACAAATCTATTTCAAATTGTTATTTAAATCTGTTTCTACTTATTTTTTTATTTTACATATTTTAAGTGTAAGTTTTACAAAAAAAAACTTACAGTCCACTGTGAATTAAGTAAGAAAAATTATACTTTTTAAATTTCAGATATAATTTATCTCTTTTCTGTAAAAGTTTATCAAATCCAACGCACAAAAATGTAAATAAAATTTGATAAAACTAATAGATAACAATACATTTAATATACAAGTTTAATATAACTTATTTACCTACTGAAGCAACCTCGCATATAATGCATATAGTATCTTTGAATTGTGGATTGTAGCTTGCGCCACATAAGGGACACTTTATTTCCGGTTTTCCTTTGTAAATGGGTGTTAACGTGCTCGCGCACAACGAGAACGGGTTGTGCTCATCATATGCTAATTTATGTTCGTCGACAGGGTTCTTGTCACAGGACTGAAAAATAAATTAAAATTTCTCACTTAGATATCACTTAGATATCAATCGTTTACACAATTATTTGTAATAATAATACAAAAATGTTTTACGCAAGAAAAATGAAACTATACCTGCAATAAGACTCGAATTTTTTGTGCTGTTTCAGGATTCGGTCCAAGCTCGAGTAATCTTCTCGCGAACGAGCCGGCGGTTTTGTAGTTCTTCAATTTGTAGAACAAATTCACAGCTACTTGAAGAGTGAGGATCTGATGTACGGGTTGTAGATTACAATGCGTGAAGTACGCCGCCATCTCGCAAATCCTCTTCTGCTCGGCCAACGTACTTCTCGGCAGACTTTTACGCACGGTCTCCATTTTCAGACCTAAGATGTACTCGCGACAAATTTGAATTAACTGTTGAGCTTCCGCGGTCTCTTGTTTGGTGTCAACAACGAGCAACGGTACACTCAGAAGAATACTCTGCAACTTCTCTATTGCTTTGGCGAACTTGCCGTTGGTTGTTAATTGATAACACACTTGAAGACGCTGAACTAAATCAGAAAGATGCAAACCTATCGCGGGCAAGCCACTTTTTGATGGACTGTCTTTCGAGCTAACATCTTTCCAGTTTCTTTGAGGATATCCGTATAATGACGGTACGTTAGGGAGACAGGAATAGGACGTTCTAGAGCGAGCGTATGTGTTCAAAAATAAAGATTGATAAGGTCCGAACTCCACCACTCCGAACTGATTGTGTAACAATCTAAAAGCAGATTCAAACGAGCCAGCTAATATATGATCGACCACCATTTTGGAATTGTTGGTCCAATGCTGGGTCGGTGGAAGTCCTTTCGTAGGTGGAGAATAATAGCCCTCTTCGTTGGGCGTTGTAACCTCGAGTTCCGGTGGAAGATCGACGTCTTCGACGTCCCATCCAGGATTCTCTTCGCCTTCCGGCGCGATTTCCGTGTCTCCGCCTTCTTCGTCGTCTATGCCGAGCTCTTCGTCGTTGCCCCATCCCTCGGGCGTCGCCTGGCCGTCGTCTTCCACAGCGAGAGCGGCAGCTACCTGACTCTTTCCGCGAGACATCATAGCGCCTTCGAAGAAGCCTTTCGAGACAGTCAGAAGCGGCCAATTGTTCTCAGCTTGTTGTATAGGCACAGGTGGACGGAGATACACGGCACCGTTCGCTAGTTCAGAAAGTTCCTCGCTCATCGACTCGTACTGAGAGTCGTCCTCTTCGTTCGATATTCCGTGTATTTTTTCGGTAACGTACGCCAACGATGCTTGACCAGAGTTCTACAAAGAGTTGAAATACAAAAGTTCGTTACTTCGTAACCATAATATGGTCAATAGAAATGAAACTATATTATCTAGACATACATACATACCCGTAAAATCTTAGCTCGTTCGTAGATGTCGCCAAGCAACAAACTTCCTTGATACTGTCCGGATACATCTTTTCGAATTTCAGCAATTTTAATCATCTTACGTAGCTTATCCAAATTGCCGGTTATAAGATAAAGGAAAGCCAGTTTCTCGAAGTTTTTGGTTCTCTGGTAGCACATTTCCACAACCTGATGATTGCCCTGCAACAAAGCGGTTTGCGCCAGACTCTCCCAGCACGATTTCTGATCGAGCGTTCTCGCGGCTTCTAACGCGACTTCGATGTTCCCGCACTCGAGCGCCAGGCCAAATCTGGTCTTCTCGTCCTTCACGAAATGAAGCGCCACTTCCGGATATCCTTTCTGCTGTAAGTACGCGATAATTGATTGTCCGACGAGATTCGCCGTGCGAACCATGTGCAAAACTTCTTCGTATTTTCTATTAATTAACGCCAGCTTGAACTTGTATTCCGTCGGATCTATTCGAAGAATTCTAGGTCTGCATTCACGATCCAAGCAATAGACTTGATTGCCCTTCACTTTTGTGACGTAAATCGGCAGATCGAGCGTGCGGATGATACCGTGATCGCCGTTCTTGATCGCGTACTTGATGTGATTGCTCGTCGTGTAAATGAATACACCGGAATCGTCCCAGGCCCCAGATTTCACTCGGGTGTTCTCGTGTATGGAACACAGAGATTCTAACCGACGATTGCAAATAGTGACGTTGAACTTAGCCAGTAAGGCAACATGGGACATGTCGCTGGACCATTCAACGTATCTGCATTTAGCGATTTTAACTTCAGCCAGAGTTCTCTTCTGTTGTACGTCGAACAGCGTGACCCCTTCTGCGTCGCGCACAAGCAACATGCCGGTTCCGGCATAGAAGATACCGTCGCAATTCGGAATCTGTACCTTCTTCGTGACTTCGTTCTTCAAATTCTTAATAACCAACTGGAAAAAAAGTACGCATCAGTGTAAACTACGTTGCGTGTGAATAAACAAAATGATAAAAAATTCAAGTCATTTCAAATCTGAAATTGTTTAAATCGGTGTAAAAATTACATTCGACTTACCGAGTAGCCTCTGTCTAATACGGCAAATCGATTCCTTGCGACCCAGATGGCGGTAATGCCAGACGCTCGCTTGGTGTCGGCGGTATCCGAGTTCGAATCACCTTCGCGCGGTATCATGTACAAATCGTACGTGCTGTTCTCGATATTCGAGGCCGATCTGGTACATATGAGCACGCTATTCTCCGCCTGATTGTACGACATGCTGTACGGCGAAGTTTTGCCGCTGCCGCGAATCTGCATCACCGACGTGTCCTTCGACGTGGTAAAGTCCAACTTTCGAAGGAAACGATCCTTTACGTAATACAGTAGATTACCGTGCACCGCGTAAGCGGGACGTTCTCTCTCGAGCTTGAAAATAATCATGCCCGAGTCATGACCCGCAGCAAAAAGATTCAATGTCGGATGAGCAGCTAGAACCCAGAATCGCTCGTGTTCCCTTCTAAATGTGTGTAGACACGTGCGTTTGGTCATATCCCAGACGCGGATGCTCTTGTCCTCCGAATTGGAGAGAATGAGATCTTGTCTGGGATGGAATAACACGCACGACACATTGTTGTAATGTCCGCGGCACGTGTCCACCTCCCACGCTTTGGCGTCGTTCATTCGCCAGAGTTTAATTTGCCGATCGTCGGCTCCCGATAGAATTAGGGGCAGCGTAGGGTGGAAACAGGCCCAATTTACGCCTCTGTCGTGACCTTCGAGCATGTACTTGAGCGCTGCGTCAGCCTGACCAAATAAATCGGTCGCTCCCGGATTCTTCAAATGATCCTCGAGACCTCCCGGGCCGGGCGCCACATTTTTCTTGCGCAATCCTGCAAAGTCATTCGGCTATAATCACCACCGTCTTGCCGATAATCACGGGTTGCCAAAGTCATTACGTCTCGCCTTGTATTTTAAAACTTATGACACGCGTACATAAATATAATAAATACAAGCGGTACAATAAATAATAAGTACAAGCGGTGTAACTTTTTAAAATACTACAAATGAAATGCACAAATCAACGATTACAAGCAATTATTCTTTCTACAAATTTCTTAATAAGATTTACGAGAATTTATAAAAATTTCTTTTTAATGACAAAACGATTTTTCCACGAACCGGATATGTCCCAGATCCGAATCGTTTGATCCAACGAGGCCGATATGATAAGATCCTCCGTGGGATGAAACTGTGCGCACATCACGTAGTGATTGTGTCCAGTTACTACGCAAATGCATGTACGGCTTTGCCAGTTCCAGATCCGAATGGTCTGATCGTCGGAAGCACTGAGAATCCAGGGATACTCGTGATGGAACACAGTGGCTCTGATGTAATCCAGATGACCGAGCAGGGTGAAGATGCATCTTCGCTGCTTGTAGTTCCACACCTTGATTTTGTAATCATCGCCGCCGGAAACGAACAAAGGCTGTTGATTGTGGAAACATATACCCCGAACGGGCCCGTCGTGCTCGTCGAACTTGTCGAGCAAGGTGCACATACGATAGTCCCATAATTGAATGACTCCATTGTGTAAGCTGCAATTGATTGAAAATGCAAAAACCTTACAATGTGCGATACGGATTTATCAAAATAAACATGACGAACAAAGTGAATGTACGACGTTCACGAAATATTCGCGCCTGATAAGCACGCTGTCACGTTTCTTAAACGGGTTAAGATTATTATTATTGAAGGAATCTCACGTACAAAAAAGATAAATAAATGATGCGTTCTTAAAACGAATATCTCTTAAGTATATTCGCGTTAATTTTTTATTATGTCATTTGTATATTCGACTCTACACGCAATTTTCTCGCTTCAAATTATCGTTATTTAATACGCAACACTCCTCTCTGTGCAAATATAAAATTTTAATTCGCAAAAACGTGGTATCAAAAAATACCAACATGCAATTACGGAATTACAGAGTGACTCGCACGTTTCGAATATTACTCTCTTTCAATCGCCATGAGCTATATCAAGAACTTTACGAGTGTGTCCTGGATTACGAAAATCAACGGGGTCGTATTTTTTTACGTCTGGGTGCGCGATTACAAAATGAGCAATGAGGCTTCAAGTATAGAGGTCATTCGAAAAACTGGATTTCGGCCTGACCAACGCCTCCGATATAGAGTGCTCCGAGGTCGCAATAATACAAACAACGTGAATTAAAAATTGAATATTATCATTGTCTTTTTTTTTTCCATTCGAGGTAATCGACGCGATAATTTCCATTTTTCAATTCGCGTGTCAATAGAAAGTCGAAACAATTACGATTTTCTTGATGAAAGTTCGCAAAACTCTTGTGACTCGCGCGCATTTGTGATCGCGTTGTTACATACGATATATCTCCGATCTTCTACTTTGTTAAAATAGGCGTGGTCGACGATCATTATACTTGATCCGAATATCACAATCGCACTTTCGGTTTCCTCTCGATTTGGTATCCCGTTGATTTTTTAATGTATGCGCGAATATAATAAGTTCTCGCCCGTGACAAATTGATTGCTCATACATATTTAATGAAGAGATAAAAAATTTGCGATTGCCAAATTTGCCGATCACCACGATGGCAAACAACTTTTTTCACAAATCATTCGTTTACATATCCTGTTTACATTTTTTGCGTGTGACACGCGTCAAAATAATCATATATTTTATATATTGTAAATAATAATACAATTATAATATCACAAAACAAGTAATTTTAAAGAACTAAAAATTTTTTTACACAAATCTCACTACTGTTAAAAATTTAAATTTCCTTGTTTCTAACGTGTCTGTATAATACATTTAAGTAGCAGTTTGTATAAATACTATTTTTACATAACGAGATAAAAACGTTCGAGATTATTCGAGCACGAAAAATGTAATTGATTCATCCTTCGCCGAAAAGTGGACCGTTTATCTTCGTATTAATCTACTGCATAAAGTGCAGCGCGCATAATCATGATGCTCGACGATAAGGGTATCCAAAAAATTTGATCTACATATGCCAATGTAATGCCAATATAATGCCAATATAATTGTATCCAGCGTGACGACAATCAAGGGACAGGTATACATCCCCCCGGGGCAGTTTTTAACAGAATCAGGTCAGCAAAACCAGAAGTGTGAGAGTGGTGGGAGCGTCAAGTGCACACTGAACGCCTGCGTATATAGAGATCACATCATTACGCATCCTGGTAGTTCGCTCTTTAATTTCTTTATGCTCGGAACCCTTTTGTCGAGTCTCGACAATGGTGCTCCTGCAATGTATTGTCTCTACCATTGTAAGTATACGCACGTTTTAATTAAGAATTCATAAATGTCCAAATTACAGTTTTTATTATTAATAATATACACGAGATATATGTGCGCGTGTGTGATAATTTATTATTTAAATTGATTTTTAGTCATAAATCTTTAAATTTTGACAAGTGTAATTTGTGCGAGATAATTACCCTAATAATTCGTAAATATTTAAAGATAAAAAAAAATTGAAAATATTTTTTATTTCTCTTTAGCTTCTCTTCTCGGGTGTAACATCAGAAGGGGCATATTCTCCGTATGAAAACATTCAGCTGGAATTTTCCAACACTCCGAAACTGATCTACACATCATCCGAATCCAACCCTGCCATCAGTGGATATACTTACACAACTCAGCACATCAACGGTGGAAGTAATGTTATCTTCACAACTGGTGCCGATTCAGTGGACAGAATGAGGAATGGAATGAATTCAATGAAAATACCAGACGGAGATGCACCCAATAAACTTCAAACGAATTTAATATCTTCCGAAGAACAATCGGAAGTAATGAAAGCTAGCACGAGCAAGCAAGAAGATTATAACTCGAATGATGCGGTAACCGTTGAAGCTAAACAACTATCACAAAATTCTGGAGCAGATAACAATCTTGTTGAACATCAACAAGCTAGTCTTCAGCCAGTTTCCCTTGTGCGTGTGTCCCCCTATCCCGCACTCAGAGCAAATTTGCTGCCTATTTCAACATATCATGTACCGTCGAATTTACAAACCCAATTTTATTCCTCAAATTCTCATCTAGAATTGCCTTTGTCCAATATTGGTTTTTACAATCCTGCAGTGCCATTATTTTATCAAGGAACAATCGGAGTTTCTAACAACAGTTTCAAACACGCGTCTACAGTTGCGGAAGACGTGAAAGTTTCCACAAAATCGCAAATTACTAAAAATTCACAAAATGATGCCAGGTCTGATTCCATATATTCAAATGTAATAAAATCAAGATCGTTTGAACCAAACAAAGTCGAAGAAACCAATAGATCTGCCACTTCTACAAATAAATTTGAATCTACAGTCACATCATCTGAGAGAATTAAACAGAAAACTTCAAGCAGCGAACTCGTAAATCATGCAGAAAAATCTGAAAGTTCTGTTGAACAAACGAACCAAGACAAAGCAAGTAATACCGAATTTGAAAGCACAAAAATAAATCCCTCAACAAGCGCTTCTACCACCAAGAAATGTAAATGCGATTGAAATAACTCTGAGAAAATACATATCCTATTCTTCCATTAATAATAATAAGATTAAAATATGGCAAACTTACTATGTGTTTTGTGATTGTATATATATATATATATTATTTGATTATTAAAATACTTTTTATACTTAGCAAATAAATCTTACGTATAAGAATACCGTGTTGGATAATGAAATATAGTCTCTGCTTCATAAAATCATCAGTATATACATGATTAAATGATTGAAAGTACTGTGCGAGAGGTTATGTCAATATTAATGCGATATAACACATTGTATGAACATGTTCGTGAGATTTTCTGATGTAGAATAAACGAGTTAATAAGAATCTTTGTTTTATGGACAATTGATCGCTTTTTACGTCAACATCGAGTTTCAAACTGTCACCCAAATAATTAACGAGACCAGAAGTTGTCAAAGTGGCTTACCTTGCGAGCACCCAGGGACGTTTTGGATGAAAGGACAAGCCTTTCACTCGTGCAGACTTTGTCTCAAACTTCGTCAGCATCTTTTACAATTATTTGAAACACAAATTAAAAGCTTATAACATTAGTAGTTTTCTTGAAACTCTTAAAACTTGACACGACGGTAGACACGTCACTATTCCGACATAAACTATGATAAATTTGGGATAGCGTGATAGCGTTTTGTACGTTTCCTGCCAACAGCAGTTTATCCAGTACAAGTCTAGTTACAAAACCTAATATTCCTAAACATAATCACTGCGATGTTTGATACATTTGATTGGTTTATAGCCAAGTGGACCAAATTCATTCATTGGTTGATTATTTCGAGGAATTGACCAATTGCAGTGGCCTTTTTCTATTAGTATAAAATTAATTAAATTTATCGGAAAGTTCTATAGTACTGCAAATGATTGGTTGAGAGATTACGTTGCTGTAAAATATCAGTGCGTTGGAAACACACGAACGAAGTGCACGCGGTACGTTCTGATTGGTTACCAGCCTGCAGATGTGCTTATCAGTGACACGTTTTGTCGTCTGGTCCATTTATTCCTTGGGCGATACCTCAGGCGCTTTAATTGAAACTATTTGATATTATGATCTAATTTAATACAAGATAAACGTTAGAAAAACATTCGTTTTGCATCACTCTTCTAGAGGAATAAGGACGTTCTTTTGTGCTTTCTACAAGTGTGTTTTAGAAACTATAGCTGTGTGCTGACAGCCGGTGCGGTATAATGCAAGTGCCGAACAGCATTGTTTTTCTTCACTTTTTTATGATTATTATATTTATTTGCATGAACAGCATTCAGTGTGAGAAAGCGAAGACGAACAAGGAGGAACTCAAGTCCCAAAATTTTCCACCCTGTGCAGCTTGTAAGATACTTACCACCAGTTTTAAGAAGGTAAACACATCAGTTTTCTCTTTCTTGCTTATGTAATTTGACAAAAACAATAGTTAATAGAAACAAATTATATAATTATGTTTGAATAACTAAGTACACATAGTTGTATCAGTTTTTTTAATAATATTTAAGTCATGTTATTCTTATTTTAAGCATTTTCATGACTTGTACTTATTTTGTAGGGTTTAGAGAAAACAAGTCGAGGGAAGTTCGAAGGTGGAGATAGTGCTTGGGAGGAAGACAAGCTAGGTTCATATTCAAGAAGTGAAGTACGGTTAGTTGAGATACAAGAAAATTTATGTAAAGAAGTAGAACATGGAGAGACACAATGCCATTCTTTAGCTGAGGAATTAGAGAGTCAGATAGAGGAATGGTGGTTCAAATATCAAGACACTCATCCTGATATTTATGATTACATTTGTATTGAAAAGACAGAACATTGTTGTCCAAAAGATCATTATGGTCCAAGCTGTATACCATGTCCAGGATATCCAGATAAAGTTTGCAACAATAATGGGAAATGTAAAGGAGCTGGTACAAGGAAAGGGAATGGCAGTTGTTTATGCGATAAAGGATATGTTGGGGAAACTTGTTTGCAATGTGCTACAGGATACTATGAGTCTTACAAAGATGAAAAGACTTTGTTGTGTTCAGCATGCCATGTGGCGTGTGATGGACCTTGCAAAGGTGCTGGACCAAAAGATTGTGAAAAATGTGCAAATGGATGGCACATGATTGAAGGCAGAGGTTGTTTTGATATTGATGAATGTTTAAGAAGTGACGTCTCATGCCCTGGCAATCAGTTTTGTGTTAATAAAGAAGGAAGCTATGCTTGTTTAGGTATATTTTTACATATATAATATTGTTTATAGTTTTAATATTATTTCTAAGGTTTTCAAATATACATAAACTAATATATACAAAAATAAAATTGTTGCAGCTTGTGATAAAGCTTGCAATGGTTGTTCCGGTGATGGGCCAGACATGTGTATCAAGTGTGCTGAAGGCTATCATAAAAAAGACAATTTGTGTATAAGTAAATATTATATATAGAAATACAATAATATATATTTCAAATGTATCTTAAGTGACATAACTATAATTTATCTATATTTTACAGATTCAGATCTTCTTGGTCGAAAGAAACAAGAAAATCTAACTCGGTATCTGACATACTTTGGACTTTGTGTAGCAACATGTATTATCTTACAACGTAATATTTATGCTGCTAGTGTTATTGGTTTACTGGTTGCAGTATATATATCAGTTTCAGAATACATGATTGCTCATAGCAATATTCAAGATACAACAACAAATATGGATATTCTAGGACCAGCGTAAATATAGAATTGCAATTTATATACTTTATGAAAACAATCATTAATATATTATATCAAAAAAACATCACACATTATGTTAAATATAGATTATATAGAATAATATATTATTATATATAAATTTAAACAACTTTTTAATGTACTTTATATCATAAATTATGTGTGTTATCGATAATTTCTTTTATCAATTCCTATAAAACAGAATAGTTCGTTTTAAACTTACACAATAAAAATTTTTATTTTCAATTTTCTAATTGTTGAAGTAACATGTAATTATCTTATGTGTACTGTGTCAGTGTACTATCTGGCAATTAATAATACGAGAAAAGTAATACATTTTGTGTGTGTGTGTGTGTGTGTGTGTGTGTGTGTGTGTGTGTGTACACGCGCGCGCACGCACACATATTATTTTAGTTCATTGTATATATACTGATATACATACTGTATATATACTGATACAAATATATACATATATGTACAGTATATATACTGTACACACACACACATATATATATATTATTTTAGTTCATTTCAGCTTGTATTGATATTTTTTTTACATTTTCTATACAATAAAGAAATTATTATTAATATATTATATATATAATGTATATATATGTATAAAAAGTATTTTTTTTTTATTATTCTATAAATAAACGACAGAGAAAGATAAGCATATTCGATTATTCAACTAAAAAATATGAAATAGCTTATTATTCACGTAATTTAATTTCTGATACTTTTTTCATATTTTGTATTCTTAACATAACTTATAAGCAATACTCAGTATATTATTTTTTAATTTTTTAATATATTATTTTAGTGTACTTCTATTTAGAAAAATAAAACAAATTTAAAAAATAAATGAATTTTTGCAACACATTTTCCAAGACAAACTAATATAAGCATAACAGTTTGTGCCCACATGATGGCATTCATCTTATAAAAATGTTGTGTTCTGACGCTAGGTGGATACATACTATAGTACTTTTCTCGTAGCTAGAATTTGTCGCTTTAGCTGTTTTTTTGAGGTCTAGCAAGCTTAATATATCATACTAACTTTATATCCAAAGTACATTTTTTGAAATGTTTTTGTAGATTGGATTACCTAATGCAAAATCTAAAGTAAGAAACGAGATTTTATATCTTCCAACAATAACTATAGAATGCTAAATGAAAGAAGTTCTTCTTTTGGTTTTATATTGAGAAAAATTATACTAGCTAAGTGTTTGTGTTGTTTATACACAACTATATATGTGTATATACTACATATATTACATATATGTATATTAAAGTAAATCTTTACTTTTAAATTAATCAGAGATGATAAAATTATATAAAATCTATATAAGATACTTTTTAGATGTAAAAGTAGATTTTCATATAAAATTGTTTACAAAAATAAATATATATGTCAATGTAATATTCTTGAAAACAAAATATTTTTTTTCTAATGAAAGCATACTACTAAAAGCTGAACGAGATATAATTATTGTAGTGTATATTTAACGTTAATTTTTAAATACACAAATGTACAATAATTGTGTTACATAAAGAAAAAAAACGTGATTCATGCATAAATATAAATTAAAAATAAAAAGTTGGAAATATTTTTTTTAAATAACCTTGTTACTAAATCATTAAAAAGATTTTTCTATAAAAAATGTCATAACAACTTTTTTAAATAATTAGAGTTTAGATCTAAATGTTAAAGTTGTTAGATGGCTAAAATCATTAATCATATTTTTAAGCTTTTTAAATTTTATAGTAGTAAAGTAATATTTCCATAATTTTATATCTTGGCTAATGTTTTATCATTGTATATTAACATTATATATGATTATATATAAATTTTTATAATAAATATTGATTCTAGTTTTCTTTAGTATATATCATCCTATTAAGAGTTGATAAACTAATTGTAGACCTTAGAGATTAATAAACGTATGTGCAAAATACTCGATGATAAAGAATTATACATATATGTGTGTATGAACATACGAATTATAAAAATGTACAATTGGAGAAACTTACTAGACAAACAAAACTTTTGTTTTGCGTTGGAATAAAAACATTACTATATCATTTTCTGTATTCACAATTGATGTGTTTACTATATCAATGTAATGTAGCAAATTCTAGTTTATCAAACAATTTTATATCTATAAATATATTTTTTGAAACGGTTTTGGATATACAATTACATAATATAAAATTTAAACAAACGTTGTTTTCAGCATAAAAGTATAAATACGATACATGACGACGTTAGTAAAAAACTACATCGCAGACGAAAAGAGATGATTAATATGAAAATAAGAGTTCTTTTATATAAAACAACTTTATGTCTAAATAAACAAGTTTTTTTCTATAATATATTTTGAACAATATTTACAAACTAAGAATTATTTATTGAGAACTCTAAAATATAATAAAAATTTGTTTGAAAATAAGAATAAATAAAATTATAATTTATAAGTACATTGTTCATAAAATTCTTAATTGCAAATTGTGTTTCTTGTATTACAATATTTTTGAAGTTTTTAGGAATATATAAAAGTATATATATTATTAATTACTTTACAGTTTTTTTACTCATATAGTTTGATTATAAAGTTACATCTAAGATATCTATTTTTTCGACGCTAGATGGCCAAATAGATGTATAGGTTTCTCAGTTAAGTTTTTATATATCTTCTATATATGTTTCACAATAAAGTGAATAACATATCTTATAAGCAATACTCAGCAAATATTTTTTCATATCGATCACTTTTTGGAAGTGGTCTATGTTTCGCAAAACCCGTTATTATAATTTGAAAGTTAAAGTTTTTTGAACATATTTGGTAACAATGATAAAAGAACTAATTATGTTCTTGTTGTTTTATCCGTATGTAAAGAAATCTGGAAATTATTATATATGATTATGTGTAATTATTATATACATATAATTATACATATATATACATTATTTATTATATATAATTATTTTTTAATAATGTTTAAAACTTTGTAATCATTGTTTACATAATTTAATAATTAAAAGTTTATTTTTTAATATTTTTTTATGTTTTTAAAACAACTTTGCTAAACAATATCTAAACTAAAGATTGTTATCCAGACTTTATCTTTTAGTAATAGTAGTTTACGCAATACATAACGTTAAGTACTACATAACATATAATAGTACTTAAGCCCCTTGCACAAGGGAAGGAATAGCGATAGCGATAGAAATAACACCAGTTTTAAAGAGTTTATATCTATAAATAACGGTAGGAACAACGGAATCTAACATATAAAAATACACATGTATCAATACAGATCAGAAAACGGAATAAGCAATAGCGATAAACTTTCCGACGAGTTGGAATTCTGTGTCTATTGCTTATCGCTGTCACTATTCCCTCGCATTGTGCAAGAGGCTTTATGTTACTTTATTTTCTTAGTTTTTATTTCTATTATATCTATAATGCGCGTTTTAGTCTTTTATTTTTGTAATTTTAGAAAATTTCTAATACTTGTAATTGTATTATCTTTTCTTATTCTTTTATTATATCATAAGTTTAATTTATCAATACATACAAAATAGTTGTAAGTGTATGTTATTAAATCAATAGTGCAGTGGTTTTATATCATTTTTATATGCATTACTGCTTTTTTTTATGAAAAACAAATAGATATTTTAATTCTATTTGATAAGATATCTTACTTGTTTCGTCACTAGATGGCCAAACATTTTAGCATTTTCTCGTAGTTAAATTTTTAATAAGTTCTTATATAATACTTACATCTTTATAATACAGTAATACAAAATATAAGCAATACTCAGCATTTTTTGCAAGTAAAGTTCTTTTTGAGGAACGTTAAGATATTTCAAAAAATAATTTATCGCATATTTATATGTAGCAGAGTTAAAGACTTAAGGCCGAAGCACAGACTTTTGCATAACGCATAACGCATCAGAGAATCAACTAACTATCCAGCTTTCCATTTTTATTTCTACCTGTTCTAAGAAGGCTTTTTAATTGGTTGATTCTCTAATGTCTTATGCGTTATGCATTAATTAAAAGTCTGGCTTCGGCCCTTAGTATTGCTAGCAATATAGCATCAATCTGTATCTGCTTTGTTTTTAATGCGATATCATTGGCTACTACTTTCACAATAATACGTTTGTTATATACGTATTTCATAATATTACGTATGTTATATTTTAACTGTTTTATACAATACAAAGATTTATACTATATATATTAATAAAAGTACTTTAAATTAGAGATTTTTTTATTCTTAGGCTGTGCATAAATTTTTTTTAAATCTCACATAAATTCTGTGTATTTAAAATTTTTTTATTGTAATATAATAAAAAAATAAGAGAATAAAAAAATAAATAAAAAGAAAGAAGAAACCCGCTTTTGCGTATCCCCTTTTTTAACCCCAGAGTCTGCCAGCACCTGGACCCGTTCACCCTTCCAACTTTTTAGAGTTCCCCTTTCTCCAATCTGCAGCCCCTGATTTGAAGCTCTTACGTCCTGTATGATCGCTCGAAGGGTTGTTTTAAATAATAATAACCTAACTCCGATCACACACAGATGAAAGAGAAAGGAGAGGAGGAGAGGGCGACGAACTTGATGCTCGTCAGACTTCAGTATGTTACTGGTGAGGACATACGTGTTCTTTCGCGTCGTGTGATTTTATAACCGATTCTGTGCAATGTCCTTTAGATATTGTAAACATATTAATATAAAAATTGTGCACAAAGTGTATTTATTTAAGTATATATAAATGTGCTTTTATTCTTTTATTATTAATTATAAATCTTATTTTTAAATTTGACTTTACTTAATTCTTTGATAAGATATTTCGAAATTCCATGATTAATTACTCGCAATGTTTTACGAGTATTAAGTTAAACGAGTATTAAGAAACTTTTATTTATATTTCATCAAAAAATAAAAACTATATTTTATTATTTAGTCCAAAAATTTGTTTAGCAGATCCTGCTTATTT